GGTGCGGGTGCGGGTGCGCGTGCGCGTGCGCGTGCGGGTGCGGGTGCGGGTGCGGGTGCGGGTGCGGGTGCGGGTGCGGGTGCGGGTGCGGGTGCGGGTGCGGGTGCGGGTGCGGGTGCGGGTGCGGGTGCGGGTGCGGGTGCGGGTGCGGGTGCGGGTGCGGGTGCGGGTGCGTGTGCGTGCGTGCGTGCGTGCGTGCGTGCGTGCGTGCGTGCGTGCGTGCGTGCGTGCGTGCGTGCGTGCGTGCGTGCGTGCGTGCGTGCGTGATGCGTGCGTGCGTGCGTGCGTGCGTGTGTTTTTTTCCCTCCTCCCCTCGTTGAAAATGGCCTCCCCTTGGTGGCAGTGGCTTCCTGTCTGTGTCTGAACTTCTCTGCTCCCCTTTTTGGGGTGGTGTCAACCTGTAAAAAAACTAGAGGACGATTGGCCCGAAAGCATTTTTCCCCAAGCGCTTCCCATCATGTGCTTGTCCAGCCGCGGAGACGCCCTTTTACATCGATGCAACAGCTTCTGCAAAGCAGGCTCGTGCAACTTGGCCCTATGTAACTTGGCTCTGTGCAACTTGGCTCTGTGTAACTTGGCTTTGTGCCACTTGGCTCTGTGCAACTTGGCTCTGTACAACTTGGCTCTATGTAACTTGGCTCTATGTAACTCGGCTCTATGGTAACTTGGCTGTATGGTAACTTGGCTCTATGGTAACTTGGCTCTATGGTAACTTGGCTCTATGTCACTTGGCTCTATGTAACTTGGCTCTGTGCAAGTTGGCTGTGTGCAACTTGGCTCTGTGCAACTTGGCTCTATGTAACTTGGCTCTATGTAACTTGGCTCTATGGTAACTTGGCTCTATGGTAACTTGGCTCTATGGTAAATTGGCTCTATGGTAACTTGGCTCTATGGTAACTTGGCTCTATGTCACTTGGCTCTATGTAACTTGGCTCTGTGCAAGTTGGCTCTGTGCAACTTGGCTCTGTGCAACTTGGCTCTGTGCAACTTGGCTCTGTGCCACTCGGCTCTGTGCCACTGGGCTCTATGTAACTTGGCTCTGCGCAACTTGGCGCGCTACTGCCTGGCGCGCGCGGGGGGTTTCCAAAAAGCTGGTGATGCTGGTGATGTTGACGATGCTGTGGCAGCTAGAGACCGCAAACAAAAAACTTGCGCGCTGCGACCTGGCGCGCGCGGGTTTTTCCGAAGGCTGGCGGTGCTGGTGACGCAGGCGATGTTGCGGAGCAGGCTTACGAGCTATCTTGTGTTAATCAGATTGCGCTTGCAGGGTCATCATCAGCTTCTTCTTTTCTACCGCTAGGCGCGTCTCGCGTCACGACAATGCCTCAGCAGAGTGTCACTGCCGCGCAGTTCCAAACAGCCGCATCGAAAATGGCCAAAAAGCAAATGATCACATTAGATCACACAAAAAACAGATTGATCACACTAATCCGCGATCAGGACTGACCTATGCTGTGGAAACCACGTGGACATCGGCTTCAACGGGACAACCCAACAGGAGGTCTGCGCAGCAACAGCAGCCCAACTGAGCAACGCGGCGTCGTTCCCTCATCGCGCCTGCTCCTCGGAAACGTGCTGCGCCACCTTCTCTAGCAGCTCCGCTTTGGACATTTTGCGTCCAGCTTCACGTTGCTGCACGCCCGGTCTGCTTGGCCAGCTCCTCGCGCAGCCAGCCAGCTCCCCGTGCGGCAAAGCCTTCTCGCATAGAGTCCAGCAGCTGCTGCGACTCGGTGGCCACAGGATCCTGAGCCACAACTACACAAAAGATGCCCCAAGAGTGGCTAATCATTAAATACACAATGTTATCGAACTGCTCTAGGCCCCAAGACTGGCCTATAGCTAATGTTATCGAATACCGAAGCTTCGCTGGTCGTGCATTCACTCGTGCGTTCACTCGCTAGCCCGCAAAACTCCACATGCGTAGCTGAAGCACGACAACGCGAAGCAGGTGAATCGACGTGCGTCCTGTGCCTCTGTGTCTTGCTCCTGTCTGGGCCCTGCCTGCTCCTTGGACAGCCGCTGCAGCGCGTCACCATCGCCGCGCGCCATGCAAGCAATACACTCGATGCGGCGGTTTACTACACTATACCGATGCCCAACACGCTCGATGCGGTGGCTTGGATCTGGCGAGCTGTAGAAAATGTAGCTGCTGCTGGCTAGTCTTGCTCTAATGCTCCACATGTGGGGCTCCGAAAATATGCTGCCGACGGCGCAAAAGCAAAAGCATGTCTCAAGGTAAACCGAGCCTCAACTCATGCGGATCCTCAACTCAAGTGTGCACGCAGTGCTCCAAAAACTATCGGAACGGCTGCCGGGTGCAAAGGCTGTTGCTGAGAAGTCTTGCTTCAATGCTGCGTGTGGAAATGTGCCAAACACTCTTTGCAAACACTGCAGGTAAATTTGACTTCACCCTGAAGGACGGCGCTGCCCACGAAACAAAAAGAAACAAGCCAATAGCAACCGGCTCCTGCCCGAGTCAGACACACAAATCGCTATGTCATGAAAGCGTATGTTTCTGCAAAGCAGGCTCGTGTAACTTAGCTCTGCGCAAGATGGCTCTGCGCAACTTGGCGCGCTGCTACCTGGCGCGCGCAAGCTACTTTACGCGAGTGGCTCTGCGCAACTTGGCTCTATAAAGCGTGGCTCTGCGCGAGTCTGCTCAGCGCAATGCGCTTTGCTCAAGTTGCGCTGCATGATTTCTCACGAAAGTACGAAAGTGGTCTGCGCAAGCTGCATTGTTCCAGGCTGCTGTCGGGCAAGTTGCTCTCTGCACGCTGCTGCACGCAAGTGCTCTGTGCAGGTTGCTCTGCGCAAGTGCTCTGAGCAAGTTGCTCTGCGCAAGGGCTCTGCGCCAGTTGCTCCGTGCGAGCGCTTTGCGCATGTGCTCTGTGCAAGTTGGTTTGTGCAAGTTGCTCTGCGCAAGAGCTTTGTGCAAGTGCTCTGAGCAATTCGCAGAGCGCAAGTTGCTCTGTGCAAGTGACTCTGCGCAAGTTGCTCTGCGCAAGTGCTGCCGGAGCTGTGGGAATGTACTTCGCGTACTATTTTTGTTTTTAAAAGTTACGATTGTCCAGCCGGAGCTGCGGGAATGTGCTCCGCGTACTACGTTGTAATTAAAAATTACGATTTTCCAACCGGAGCTGCAGGAGCACGCTCCGCGTACTACGTTTGTACTTAAAAGATGCGATTTTCAAGCCGGAGCTGCGGGGGTGTGCTCCGCGTACTACGTTTGCACTTAAAAGTTGCGATTTTCCAGACTGAGCTGCGGGAGCACGCTCCGCACTACGTCTGTACTTAAAAGTTACGAATTTCCAGCCGGAGCTGCCGCGGACCAGGGGGGAATCGAACCCGCGACCGCGGGATTGCGAAAGCAGGCGCGCAAACCACGAGACAACTTCCAAAGGCCGTTTCGCGAGCAAGAAAGGAACATTATTGCACGGCCGCACGATCTCCGCAGAGGGTCGCGCGCGGCCAGCAGAAATCGCAAAAAGTCCGCAGTTTTTGAGCCTCGACCACGCGAATCTCCGCAGAGAGTCGCGCGCGCATGCTAAAAATCGTAAAAAGTCTCCAGTTTTTGAACCTCGACCACGCGAATCTCCGCAGAGGGTCGCGCGCGCATGCTAAAAATCGTAAAAAGTCTCCAGTTTTTGAACCTCGACCACCTCCGCGCGCATGCTAAAAATCGTAAAAAGTCTCCAGTTTTTGAACCTCGACCACGCGAATCTCCGCAGAGGGTCGCGCGCGCATGCTAAAAATCGTAAAAAGTCTCCAGTTTTTGCACCTCGACCACGCGAATCTCCGCAGAGGGTCGCAATCCCGAGCGACGATCAAACTCCCACCCCGGCGCCTTAGAAACCTAAACTAACTTACATAGCTGCTAACGCCGAAGCTCTAAGCTCTACCTAACCTTGGCTCTATGTAACTTGGCTCTATGTAACTTGGCTCTATGTAACTTGGCTCTATGTAACTTGGCTCTATGTAACTTGGCTCTATGTAACTTGGCTCTATGTAACTTGGCTCTATGTAACTTGGCTCTATGTAACTTGGCTCTATGTAACTTGGGGCTCCGCACGGAAGAACCCTTCGCGATGCTTTCGGGAATATTCAAACAAGAAACACATCGTCAATCAGTGTTCCTTTAACATGTGCTTTACCAAGAAAAGGAAGAGTGCCGCTTTGTGAACATGAAAATCCAGGGGCCTGTCCATGGCTGTTTGGTTTGGTGGTGGCGGGGCGACCTTCCCCATTTGGTTTCAGGAACTGGGGTTCAAATCTCCAAGGGTTGTCAACATGTCTTGTCAGTTTTTTGGCCTCTGTGACCAAATCGCCCAAAAGGACCTGGAAACTGGCTTTTCCATATTGAAGCTACAAGGGTTAGACCGTTTGCTCGTTCGGTGCGCTTGAAACAACCCACTAGAAACTCACATTTTACTTGATGGGAACTGCCATGCCCACACTACTCATAAGGTACCGGGGTCTTATGGAAGTCTGGGTTTTCCCCAAACGGGGGGGGGGGGCTCTCAAAAGCAAGAGAACACATTTGTTTGGCTCTTGGTTTACAGCAAATATTACATGTGTTTGCGGTCGAAAGGACAGGGTGTCCTGTGTGTGGGTGTGTGTGTGCGCGTGTGTCTGTGTGTGTGTGTTTGTTTGTTTGCTTGTTTGCTTGTTTGGTCGCTTGCTTGTTTGTTTGTTTGTTTGTTTGTTTGTTTGTTTGTTTGTGTTTGTCTTCTTGTTTGTTTGTTTGTTTGTTTGTTTGTTTGTTTGCTTGCTTGCTTGCTTGCTTGGTTTTGTGTTGTTTCGGTTTGTGTTGTGTGGAGCGTGTTTCTTTCTTTCTTTCTTTCTTTCTTTCTTTCTTTCTTTCTTTCTTTCTTTCTGTTGTGTTGTGTTGTGTTGTGTTGTGTTGTGTTGTGTTGTGTTGTGTTGTGTTGTGTTGTGTTGTGTTGTGTTGTGTTGTGTTGTGTTGTGTTGTTCTTTGCTTGTTTGTTCCTTTTGTTTGTTTGTTTGTGTTTGTTTGCTTGTTTGTTTCGTTCGTTTGTTTGCTTGTGTTTGTTTGCCTGTAAAGGGTACCCTTGTTTAGTTGGCTTAACGGGGACTCACAGGGAAAGCGCCCGTTTCAGCCGTCTTCCGAAGCCTCCCTCATTTGGCAGGCAGAGCCGCTGACCTTCGTAGGCGCACCGAGCCATAGCGTGTCCTTTTTAGTCAGTTTGGGGCGTGTCTCTGTTTCAGGCACCTCTTCTCTGTTGTGGCTTACACTCCCACAAACTGCACAGCCCCCTGTGAAAAGACTACTTTCCTCTTGGAAAGGGGGCTGTGCACTTCCATGTTAGTTTGTGGGAGGGTAGGAAAAGCAGAAGGAAGCACCGTGGCGGCCATTTTGGGGCCTCTCCTAAACGAGAGATGGATTGACTGGTTTCAGTTTGGGAAGAACTCATCGATGTGCCTATGGACTGAGCCACAAAAGGGTCAAACTCTCATGCATCCATTTGCTTAAGAACATTGTTGTCATTTTTCATTGCTGGTTTTAAAGGGAATCGATTGGACAGATTTTCTCATTTTTTGCAAAGGGGCGCAAAAGCAAATGGAAGCATGGGAACCCGGGAATCATCAACTCATCTCAAGGCATGTGTGTGTGTGTGTGTGTGCCGCTCAAGAAGGAGATCCCGGCTCTCACTGTTTGACCCCCCCCCCCCCCCCCGTAGTCCCCACCAGGATTGAGTCCGGGGTCAGCACCTGACTTTGGTCCAACCGAAGAAAAGCCTGACTGGCGCACGGCTGAAAATGAGAACCAGCAGTTTCGGAGCCACCCATTTGACCAGGCGAGGCACCAGGCTGCGAAATCGCCCCCTTGGTCTCTTTGGTGGTTCGAGTCGAGTCGAGTCGAGTAGGCTTCGGGCACAGCGAGTGGGCGGCTGAAGCCGCGGCCGCGAACTTAGTCACCCGGTCAGGCCCTAGGAACCCAAAAGGGGGGTCTGTCGAAAGGACTTCCCTCTACAAGTAAGTGGTGGGTTTTTTAGGTTCCATCTTCATCTGAAAAATAAGCGGGACCGTGTTACTCTGTGCTGTGAATATGGCGACGCAGCCTCTTCAGGGGTCACTGGATTTCCCCTTCAAAAGCTTTTGGAGGACGCTCTGCTGCTCCCGGTGCCTTTTTGTGGGCGGCTTCGAGCCAGAGTTTTTTGTTTAGCAATGCGGACCCAACATCCATCAACCCATCGATATTCATTGGCGGGGCTAATTTTTATACGACATCCTCCACTTTTGGGGCCACTCCGTTAATCCGAGAGGGTTCTGGTTAGATCCGCAACCGAGTGTGACTCCCATCTGAGACAAAGAAACGCAGCGCCATCCATGAGTGTTCAAAATGGTGGACCCCTTTACCGTTTTATAGAAAGGGCTTACGGGCTTGTTGGGGACGGTACCGTTAGCTCGTTCACAAAACGGACCGGGCCTTAGCCTATCCAACGTTCACGCCATTTTGAGAGAGAAGAGCAGTGCCCAAACAACCCAAAATGAGGGGTCGACTCCTCCTTGGTTAGGAACCATAGTGAGGCCCCACAAACGTCAGAATCAAGCTGGCTTAAGCGGTGGGAGGTCCCATATAGACCTTCAGAATCAAGCCGGCATAAACAACCAGGCCCCCACAAGCCTCATAGGGGCCTGCCCAGACTTTGAATTGGTTGGTTGGCAACTTTTCGTTCGGAGATGTGCTCAAAAAACACCCCCTCCCCATCAAAAAAGGGAACCGGACCCGTTCCGCTGCGAGGGGCTAGTTCCACGTGGGAATCGACTATGGCCTATGGTCCCCCCAAATGGTGGTCAAGATCAACTTTCATGGTTTTAGCGTGTGACCAGATCGCCCGGAAGCAACTGGCTTTCTCCATTCAACCCACAAAAGTTCTCTTCGGCCGTTGGCTCGCTGGGGGGCGGAAGGTCATTGGACTCCCGGGCTGCGTGGGTTCCCCCCTGGTCAGAAATCCTTTGGTGCTCCTCTCGTCCCTTTTTGGAAGGTGCCTCCTTTCGCCTGGGTTTCAAGAAAAAGCCAAAAGGACACCGAAGCCATTTTGGGGGTCGAGCCTTAAGAATTTGCCGGTTCTCGGCAAAACACATGAGCCATGGAATGACTTTTATCAACTTTCCATCTGTGGTTTCCTTTAAGGGACCATCCCTTCCCGGCTCATTCCAACACCCTGACTCGGTCCTTCCCTAGGCGGCGGGGGCGGCGCTGGCCGCGCTGCCGCCGGCCCCGGAGATCGAGCCCCGGTACCCCAAGCCCCAGGCGGGACAGGGGGTGTTTCTTGTTTTGTTCTGTGCTTGTGTCACATGATCCAGTCATGAGGCAATCTCTTGTATGCATGGTTCAAGGCCTGGTGTATAGCTCATTTCCTGTAGCAACAGTGTAAAAAGGAGCCATTGCTTTGTTGATTGTGGAACATCGCATTATTTGATCCTTCAAGGACCAAACACTGCCTTATATTTCATACTGTGGTCATTTCCCTCTTTACAGATGTATTCCTCTTGCATCAGAGTAGATCTTCCTGGAGGACCTACAAGGTGTATTGCTGGCCCTATTGGGCCCCGTATATACCACCTTGTGGGGGGGGGGGGTTAGGCAGTTACGCAGGCGGAGGAGGAAGGGTTCTGTTGAACATTTATGTACACATGGAAAGCTTTGCTTTGGTCTGGTGAAGCCATGAAAGGTCGAGAAGTCGCAGAGATCAGTTGTTCACTCGCCCATCTAGGCCCAAAGCCGCAATCAAAGCCCGGTAGATGAAGGCTAGGGACCATCGCCTGCAGCGTGAATAGATCATTTTGATGCCAGGATAGGTGCCAGGACCACCAATGGGTGTTCTTGAGGATACCCCTCAAGTTGCCAGAAAAAGTGTGTGACCAATAATCCTCAGGTCCAATCATCCTCACGTCCCGTTTTGGGTTGAACAATCGACATTTCAAGTTGTGGCAAGGTCAAGAGGACGCTGGTGAAACCCCGACATGGGGCCGGTTTCCCTTTCGTTTTCTGTAAAACTATTCCCAAACAGACAAATCCAATGAAGAACCCTTGGTTTATGTGGGACTGGTCCTGAAGTCCCTGCACACAGTAAGGAATGGGCAACCCTCAATCTTTCAACCCTTCAACCTTTGCCACAATGGCCACACATTTCCTCATCCATATCAGTCTTCAACACATCTGTCTGGACCTTTAAGTTGAACTCTGCACCAATTCTTTTGGGAAATTGTTCTGGCCATCGCTGTCTTTGTTAGGTTCGTTTGCTAACAAACAGATGGGTTGTAGGTTACCTAACTTTCCACTTGTTTAGACGGGTTTCACTGGACTGCATCTTTTTAGGTTCGAAATTGTTCTGGCCATAGGTGTCCTTTTTTTTCAAGGTTGGTTTGCGAAGACGTAGTTTTTTGGGGTTCCACTGGTTTAGACCGGGTTTCATGCACCATTTCCCAGAAAAAATACCCATCGATGCTAGTGCAGTTTGGGTCATCTGTGCTTCTGGCTTTCCGAAGGCCCAAAAACCAGAATGCAGGACGCCGCGGTCTGGGTGGCCGAGAAGCTGGCGGAAGATGGGAAGGTGGAGTTGGCCGGGAACCCGACAGAGCGAGAGAGAGAGAGAGAGCGTTTTTTTCTTCGGGGGAAGCTAACACAGATTGCCTCCCAGAAACCCGTCAGGAGTTCCCAAAATGGTGGGTTTGCTTGTGGTTTCCCTTGAACACCGACCTGTTTGGGTGTTCCCAAAGAAAAGAGACTCCCAGAACAGGCTTGCCCTTTGGTCCAAGTATCACCCTGGGCCAATTTGAAGGAGTCCTTTTGGAGGGGTGATGTTTAAGGGGAAGTATAGGGAAGACTGGAGAGCTCGCGAGAGCACCAAAGGCTTGCAGAAGGATAAGTATAGCCCAAGATCCGAAGACTAGAGGGGGCGGTGGATCCTGCTGAAGAAGGCCTTTGCTGAAATAACCTCAGGACAAACCCCAGGTACCACGTGAAGGATCAGAGGCGCACAGACGACAGTTTCAAACAGACGGAATTGGCCCTCCTTTGTGGTTTGTTTGGCCAGTCTATTTTGAGCAGCCGAGTCATTCTTGCCAAAGAGAATGCTCGTTTTCATGCAGTCGCTGTCCAAGTTGAACCTGGCTCAAGATCAACTATAGGTATCCCTGCCGCAAGGGCTCTGAGAAGCCTTTTTGCTTGGAACCTTTCCTGGGCCAAGCTGGTTTTCAAACCCGCACTTCTTGCCCCTCGAGATTCTTGAGAACCGGCACTCGGCGGACTTACTCAGGGATCAACATGAACGATAGTATGGCGGCGCCGAAAGGAAACAACGCCCCATGTCGACCCCTACTGTGGATGGACGAAATCCTGCACAACCTAAGAAGCCCTGGCATGATGATGCCCCTATAAATACCAACAAACAATGGCTTCCCGCAGTTTCAAAGAGGTGCAGGATTTCGTCCATCCACAGTATGACTCTTTCGAGTCCCGCCTTGACTCTTTCGCCCCGGAAAGCGGGGGGGGGGGGGGAATCGTCGTTTTGAGGACTCCACGATGGCCGACGTGCTGCCCACTTTGGCCACTCGGCCAACATGGAAATGGCTGTGGTTGTCAACAATAGGGGAACCCCAACATGGCTTGCCCTAAATGGAAACGTGGACTGAAACCTGCGGTTTTTTGGTGGTTAAGTTTTGACCCATGCCCAAATCGATGTGCTTGTTTTGTGCTAGTAGCTCCTTCTTCTTGAATGTCTGGGTGCAACATGGCCCGTGCTGTTCGAACATTTCCCCTAAAGATGTGCTTGTTCTCCTATTTGGCATGTGTTCTTCGAGGTTACCCGGCCGCGGATCTTTCTCGGTCTTAGGAAACCAAGGGGAAGCCGGCCTTAGCATTTTGGGATGATCCTATGTGGAGGTGTTCCGGGGAGGGATGATAGAACCTTTTTAAAGGACCTTGGCGTTGGGTGTCTCTCACCCCTTTTATTGTGGACTTGCCCTTGGTCCCCCTTGAGAAGCATGCCGAAAGAAGGACAGCCTCATGGGATTTGCCCAGTTTTCAACTTTTTGGAAAGGTCATGTTCGTTCTACACAGTCACAGACATTTTTGACCAATCCACTCAGGAAGTCAAACAAAACACTCACTTCCATGCTTCCCTTCAGCCAAGAAGCTCAGTGGCACCTAGGCGTCCCTGCCGCTAGAGCTTCACGCCAAGGCGTCGGGGCCGCGGTACTTTCCTGGGATCCCTTCTGTTTGTTTTGGCACATTTCAAGGTTCACTGCATATGGCTGTGGTTCAAAAATAGGGTAACCCCAAAATGGGCTGCCCTGGTAAATGGAAGCATGGACTAAAATCTGCGGTCCCCAGGTGATTTAACATTGACCCACACCCATATGGGCCGGAACTTCTCATGTTGTTACTGGTTGCGCACGCAAGCCGTGTTGGTTGCTCAGGCCTGAACCCGTTGTAAACTCGGATGACCTTGGATGTTGTCGCTTTTTCCAGTTTCCAACTGTTTCCAGAGGCAGTGACACATTAAAACCTTTTCCTTGGTCGAAGACCAACCTGAAGAAGAATCCATGCCAAAATGGTCTATGGGCAAATTGAGGGGCTCGGAAAGTTGGAGCGAACATTGGGGCTTGGTCATCCTTATTTGCTAAGGGCCCATTCACTGAAGTTATTCTTGAAATGAGGATGTTTAGACAACATCCCCTTTTTGGTCCACGTTTAGTCCTGGCCCCAAAGCGTGAACCCCTTTGATTCTTGGGTGCTTAGGGCAAGTGAGCAGTTCTTCAAAGATGTTAGGGCCTAAGCCATTCCCGCCGTGGCAAGGTCCTTCGTGTTGGAGGACAGCTGCTTGTGCATTTCAGAGGTGGCGGGTAGCTTTGGGGTGTTTGTGACTGTTTGTGTCATCGTCCACTGGCCTGCTCTGGATTTGAGGCATGTACGCGAGGACGTTTGAGGCTTTTTTGTGTTTGGGGCTCGGGCTGGTGATCATGTTGTGAGCCTCAAGTGGCTAGGAGGATCCCTGCCGGGTCGCCATAGAACAAGGAGATGAAGAGACTCCGCAGGAAGAGGACTTGACTGGTCATCATATGGAGTTGCGGAGGGGGGAGGGGGGGGAGCTTAGCTTTGAAGCTCTTCAGTTCTTCTGCTTCTTTCGCTGCTTATTAGTTTTTCTTGTTGTTGTTTGTTTGTTAGTTTGTTTGTTTGTTTGTTTGATTGATTGTTTGTTTGTTTGTTTGTTAGTTTGTTAGTTTGTTAGTTTGTTTGGTTTGTTTGTTTGTTTGGTTTGTTTGCTGATTGCCGCTCTGGCCGTTGGCGATTTTGGGTCTTCGGGTGCCAAAGCGACGGAGGAGGTGAGGACCATCCTGGTGAGCCGCGCCACTGAGGGCGGCAAGCTGGCCGCCCGAGGCCTCGGTTCTTGTGGGCGCATGGGGCCCACACGCAGCGTGCTTGGAGACTCAAACCTGAGGATCGCCAAAATCAGGGGTCCCTATATTTCCGTTTTTGGTGGTTTTAAACGATGCGGCGGATATCGCTGCAAATCGAGCACGCAACTCCCTCAACCAGGATATTGTGGGCAAGACCAACGTTTTGCATTTTGCAAACTTAAGAGCGGAGAAAGCTATCAAAGAAGCTCACACTTTGTTAGGAAAATTTCACAGTTGCAAGTAAGTGAATTAACCGAAAAAAGAGGACTTGGTACAAAGTGACCCGGTTGTTAAACTATGTGGCAGTGTCCATAGCACTTGGCCCACACGTAAGTTGCCAGAGTTTGATGAACGATGCCGTGACGAAGCATTTTGGGGAATTACGTATATGCTTAGGCTGTATCATTGGGTCTCCACTCTTCGCTGGGCACCTCACGTCCAGGAAGATGAATGGGGTGTTTCATGGATTGAGCTGTTTCTCAGCTTTCAAATGAGCACTGAGTCGGATATCCCAGTTAACCTTAGCGAGCGTGCGCACTGCTGAAGAATTTGCCCGTGTGCACGAGGAATATGTCACGGACTGGAGCTTCGGCAAAGCGGAGAAATGGTCTCAGCAGGACATTGAAAATGCTCCTGCCCGCAAAACGGCCGCAGACTCCCCCTTGCACTCGGATGCAGAGTCTGACGGATCCGAAGACTTGGAGCTATCCCGTGTCAAGGAGACTGCGCAGCCTGCGCGCAAGCGTGCGCGTTTGCAACCAGAAGCTGCGCCAGCAGCATCCCAGCAGGAGCCTCCTGGTGCGCCTTTTCTGGCCGCCAGGGAGCAGTTTTCCCAGCAAGCCTTGCCAGTGGATGCAGATTTTGCACGAGTGTTTCCTAGTCCCACTCGCATGGCGTACGTGAAAGACGGTGCCGGAAAGCGAAAAATTGTTCATTCTGATGATCGACGACTCGTCACATTGCCAGAACACAATGAAGCGGTGAAACTCATTAAGCCGACTACGCATAAGCGTATGATTAGCTTTGAGAAAAGTTTGCGGGCCTTGGAAAAATCTTGGGGGTCGAATTATTCCCTTGCAACACTTGCAGCTGACCTCAAAGCCTCCGGGCCCTCGGTTTCTTCCATGCACGACCCGGTCTTCAGAAAAGGCTGTGGTTCCCTTTCCACGAAGACATAACGCAAGCACTTCGCAATAAGGCAGGTTGCCCTGTCATCATTGGGGACCTGCCCACTTTGGTCGCAGACATTCGCATGATTTCCATCCCTTTGCAAGAAGGGGATACCGTCGAGTCACAGTGGACGAGACGGAGGTTTCACAAAGAGCGCCTTCGGGCGCCGCGCTAAGGAGAACGGACTCGGGCTGCACTCACACGTGTGGCGCACTCCGAAGAAAGAGACGGGTGGTTTTAAACATCACCTTGTTGGCCCAGGAAAGGCGAGTGTCCCTCAATGGAGATGATGTTGTGAGTGGAAGTATAGGGAGCCGCCCCGGCTTCTATTGGCGAATTCGGTTTCGCAGCTAAGGGAAGCCTTTTTTTTCATAGGTGGGTTGGCGTGTTCGGAAGTGCAGCAGACTCAAGTAACCCTTAGTTGGTGGTTTGGATGGGTCTTGGACCAGTGAACTTCTGGCTTTTGTAAAGGGTAAGCGGGAAGCTACCCTTGGCCACCAAACCAAGACAAACCAGGGAAGCTGAGAGAATAGGATCCAACCCTCCCCTTTGTCTGGTTTTGCAGGTTGCTTCCTGCAGGTGTGCCTTAGCTGGTCTGACGTGTTGTAGAACACTTGTATTGCCTGACTTTGCGCATGATAAGATAGTGGGGCAAAAGAAAGGGGGGTGCCCCATTCCGGAATGCGTTTGCGCAAATCTAGCAGATTGTTGTCACCTCTCGTGAAGAAGTTCAGGTACCTGATGACGAGGCGTCAATCTGGAACAAACCGCACCAACAAGGACAACCCCACAATGTGCAGCACGCAGCGAAACCGCTGGATGTCACAGAGCCTCGCCCCAGAGCGGAAGAACCTGAAGAAGCAATGATGGACATTTTGTGACCGCCGCGCAAGACCCTTTTCCAAGGGTTTGCCTGGCATGGATTTGGGGTTGGGCAACTCTTTGTGATTGGCTCCCGAGACCATTTTGGTGGCATCCCAATTAAGATCTCTTTCTGGATGGTTATGGAAGAATAAACCACTGTCCGATATGTTTTTGTTTGTCCCTTCTTTTCAGGCTCGGTACCCCTTTTTTGGGGCTGGCGCAAAGGCAAGCCGAAGGGAGGGGTCGTATCAAGTGTTCCCACTAAGAACGGAAAATGAGACACTAAGAGGCGAAGAGGACTCCTAGTCCTACTACTTGTACTACTACGACCACTACTACTACTACTACTACTACTACTACTACTACTACTACTACTACTACGACCAGTACTAGTACTACTACTAGTCCTACTAGTACTGTTGCTAGTACTACTACTAGTGCTACTACTAGTAGTACCACTGCTGCTAATGCACTGCTATCTGCACTGCTATCTGCATAGCTTGACCAGTGGTGTTGTTTGTCTCGACGGGTTAGCAAGGGGCCCGCAATCAACTCACGGGCGGCAGGCGAAGCTAATGACGTGGCAGACGGAGTGGGAGGAGTGCGTTGCCCAATACAGCGACCCTGCTGCAAGCTTTTGCTTCAACACCACGCCGAATGGCAAAGCCTGCTTTTTGTTGCCATATTCCCGGATTTTGCCGTCGCTAGCAGAGCCTGGCGGCAGAGGGGAAGGTGGCCGATCGGACGGAACGGACTTGCGGGTATCCGCCCATGCGAGGGAAAAACAAACGTGTGGCTAGGACCCCCTCTCGATGGGTGTTGCTCAAAATTGGGGACCACTCCAGGCAGGTGACTCACCCGGCCCCAGAGTTCCCCTTGCCGTAAGAGCCAATGTTTCCCCAAAGCGCAGAGGCCTAAATATTGCGGTTGGGAACAAGGGACACTCTAACTCTGGTGGCTTACCTCAACCCACAGGTTTGCGGTTGTGGTTAAAGCGGGGAAAGCCTATGGCCCCTCTTTTGCTACTAGGATCGGATCCGGCTTTAACTAGCCAGCAGTTGACTGTAGAACTAGTTGTAGTACTAGTAGTAGTACTAGAGTATTACTAACAGTAGTACTAGTAGTAGTAATAGTAGTAGTAGTAGTAGTAGTAGAAGTAGTAGTAGTAGAAGTAGGGCCCGAAGAGCGGCTTCCCTTTCCCTAAAGGAATCCGGATTTCAAGGTGCTGGCGGGCAATTCTCCGCCGAAAAGCGGATTCTCTTTCTCTGCGGCCAGTACTACTACTACCAGTTGTATGATTAGTACTCGTACTATTATGTTTTCCGTTCTTGGTTCTTTTGTTCGCGCTCTTATTGGCTAAGAGTTTTCCGCTCTTCTCGCGCCAAATCGCCCAATCGCCCAAATCGCCCCAGCGCTCTCCGCCGATATCTCCGAGGCCTCGATGCGTGCCCGGCTGCTGGGGGAGGAGGGCGGCCGGGTCTTCGGCGGCTTGGAGCTGAAGATGGCCGGCAAGAGCGCCCGGGGCCTCGGCGTTTTTGCTTGGGCCGAGTTGTGGTCCAGGTGGATCCGGTTTTTGGTGGGTGATGTGGAGGTTTGCTGATTTGGCGGCTTGGGATATCGATTTTGTTTCGGATTCTCCTTTTCAAACGTGCAAAAGGCTTGGGAGGACAACCCAGGGTCCCTCATTTTGAGATGGCCCCAGGCCATGAATTTCAATTGAGAACCACCTAATTGGTCATTCGTGGTTGGACACGAATTCCCACCATGATGTCCACCTTAGATTTCACACCACGTTTCTTGGGAAAACGCTGTCATGGTTCATGGTTGGTTTTCTTGGGATCTTCCGGTTCATTGTCCACTTACCTGGGTCTCCTCCAAACCTACTTCATTTTTAGGGTAGTTTAAATCTGAGACTTGGAAGACCTGTTTTCTTTGTCCCGAGGCCAAGAATTCAGGACCCTTGGTTTGGATTTGACTTCCCTCTAGTTGGTGGTTTGGAGCCGGGCTCCAAACCACCAACTAGGGGTTACCTGATAATCTACGGTCGGGTGAACGTAGATGGTACAATTCTGGTGCATGTCATCCCTGTCCCTGAATTTTGACCCCCTCCCCCCCCCCCCCCGTGAGGCAACTCTGAATTGGTTTGCATTTGGCTTGTTTGGATTGTTTGGATTGTTTGGATTTGAAGGGGTCCCAGTTGTGTTTATTTTGAAGGTACCCTCCCACCAGCTGGAAGTGCACAGATCCCTGTAGAAAGACTTCCTCTTGGAAAGGGCCTTCTTGCACTTCCACGTTCGTTGGTGGGAGGGTACGTGATTTGGACACCACCCCCGTTTCACCACCAAACCGATTTGGTTCCTTTGAGGGAAGCTGATCGATCCCGAGGCGTGCCGCGAGGCCGCCATCGCCACCAAGATCCTGCAGCGGTGGCCAAGCCTGAAATGGGCGAGGGCGAGGGACAGGGTTCCGTTTCTTTTTTTGACTACCTTGGGGTAGACTTAAACCCAGGGGTGTTGTTGGGGGGAATGAACCACCCCTGGGTTTAAGTCTGCGTTGGGGTAGTCAAACAACGGGACCCTGGCGAGGGATTGTTTGGGAGGCGTTTGGGTAGTGTTGTCTTTGTGGGGTCGGTGGGTTGAAACAGACCCTTGTGGCATTGTGCGGGTATCATGAACAAAAATTGAGACTGAGGGGGTGAGTATTTGAAGGGAAGCCAAAAGGAAGACCCTTGTGACATGGTGCGGGTATCATCCACAAAAAGTGAGAGGGACTGATAGGGGGTTGGGGTTGGGGGGAGGTATGATTTGGGCGGACATTTCGGTCAGTTGAAGTAGTTTCACCTAGATGAGAGAGCATTGTTAAAGAGCCTTGGGGAGCGCTGGATCGACCAAATTGGGTAGCAGGTGGGTGTGCCCACACCCATGGGGTGACGTTTTCTTCTGCTGGAAGGGGTGACCCGTGACTGATGGTTTGGATTTTTTCGGCTGGAAAAAGAACGGGACCCTGGTTCTCTTTGCAGGTAAATGGATTTGGACACCGTCACGTTTCACCAGCAAACCACCGAGAAACGGCTCCAATCCACTGGAGAGAAGCATGGGAAACCATCCCTGACCACCAAGCCTCCGGGCTCCAATCCACTAGTTTCTCAGCTTGAGAGGATTGTCTTCGGACCAGAGTCATTTTCCGCGGAGAGGGCAACTGTGAGATTCCCTGTTTCCCTCCGCCCTTCAAGATACTGCCAGAGTAAGTTGAGATGACCATCTTGTGGGGAAGCGGCGCCATCTACTTTTCTTAACTGCTATTGGGTTGGATCTTTAGACTTCCACTTTTTGGGAAATCAAGAGGTTTCCCACTAACCCCCCCAAAAAGTTAAACTGTTTAACTATTTCCAGGGGGGCCAACAGCAACCAAGTTTTATGCACGGAAGCCCATCGTGGCGGTTAGGTTCTTCCCGGAGGACTTTGGCATCCGCCGGGGTCCAAGATCCGAGATATGTGAGTCCCTTGGGCATTCCAAAGGCCCAAGACGAAAGTTTCGCCTCCATCTGCTGAAGAGATGTTTTTTGATTTTCTCTTGTTGGTCTTAAAAGGAATTCATCACTACTGAAAATATTGTTTATTTTTGCCTGGGGGCTTAACCAAATGGAAGTTTGGGATACCTCCAGATGGTGTAAAGCTAGTTTCATATGCGTCATATGCGTTTTTTGGGCCGCGAGTCGCGGGGACCTGTTTTTTTGCAATTGATGTCGAGGGAAGCCGGAGGGAAATTAATCATTGGGGATTTCCTAATTTTGAGATACACCCATGCTGAAAGAGGTCTCCTCGTTCTTAGACCGAAACAAATGTAGTTCAACTTGTTTGAACCCTTTCTCCCCTCAACAACTCCCGCCATTTGCTTTGGACTCGCATACGAGTGGCATGATCCTTTCTCCATTGGTTTGACCACACAAAAGCCCCGATCCACCATGGCCTGCCAAAAAAGCGCCCATCAAATACCACGAACGGCTAGCGCCAAGAAACATGACCATCAAATACCCTGAACAAAAGGCCATAACACGCAAACGCTGCGCGTCCCTGATCCTTAACTTGGTCCCCCAGTTAGGTGCCCTTCTACCCTTTTTTGGGGGAGGGGTCCCCTACTATAATGGACTACAGAAAATTGGGCACCCTTATTCTATTCTCTCGACTGGAGGCCTAGATCCTAAAAACTTGCCGGTTCTCAGGGACAGCCATGGAATGACCCCTCTAAACTTTCCATCCGTGGATTCCTTTAAGAGACCATTTCTATTTTAGTAGTGTCCCTCTTCCCTTTTTTGGTTGGGAGGGTTCCCTTCGGATCGGCCGGTTCTGAAGCCGACGAGTCGAAGCGAGGCTTCCGCGCGGAGTTCCAGGACTTCGAGGGCTACCGGGCGCGGGGGCTGGTGCTGCGCGTGGAGAAGCGGAGAGAGAAAAGGTCGGCGCGGAACGAGTGGAAGGCGTGGGAAGGCGTGGGAAGGCGTGGGAATGTGGACAGGAATGTAGGCAAGGGGACTTTTTATACTTTTGGGGTTTGGATGTTTTTAGTGGTTAAGCAGCAAGTTCAGTTTTTTTTTCTGGCCAATCCACTCAAGTGAGGGGGGGGGGAGGGCGTGCCTATTTTCAAGCACTTGACTCTCCCGCAGCTTTGGGCCCCGAGCCGCGCCAGTAGGAGCCAGTAGGAGATGTTAGAAACGGGGCACAGGACCCACAGCTGTGGGGAGCTCCGGAGCCTTGGCCAATTGGATCCGTGAGCAACTCGGGGCGAAAAGTTGCCGAGGGGCAAAGCGGAAAGTTTGTGTGACCGATTTTTTAACCACCAGAGAGGAAGGTTCGGGAGGTCCATTCTGCAACAGTTTTACCTTGGGGGGGTTTAATCCACCACGAAGAGGGTATGTTTTAGGATGTCACGTAATGGACCCAAACTCCTATCGAGTTGATGGGATTTTGAAGGCAATGATCTGACCAGGCGTTCTTGTACAAGTGTGACATGTATACGTAGTTTTTGCACATCCCCCACATAGGCCCCTTTGTTCAAGATCTGTTTTCCCGAAGACGCGCAGGCATTGCTTGTTGGTACCACCTAGCACTTCGCTGTGCGAATATATTTCCTAAGACACCCAACTGGCAATGGGATTCGTATTCTCAATGAAGAGACCTTCATAGAGTATTCGTGCATCTTGTTTGCGGGCCTCCGAGTGATCTGCTCTTTGAGCAAATCTCAACCACATCCCCAGTTGCTGGACTATGGTCACTCGCAAAAGCGCGGTGAGCTCAAAAGAAGAAGTCCGGATCTGTCTCTGGTGAATCCGCTCAAGAACTGACCTCAAAATACAGGGCCCCCCACGGTTTTCTTTGGGTTTCTCTTTTAGCCAAGGTCAAAAACGAGTATATACCTTTGCCTCAAAAACACACCCAACCCCAGACACGTGTTTCTCTTCCAAGCCGAGGATAGGACATGTGGGGCAGACCGTCACGGTGTCTGGATGGGTGCAGATGAGTCGGGACATGAACCACTTCGCCTTCGTGGATCTGCGAGACAGATATGGAATCACGCAGGCGCGCGAGCGAGACAAAGCAAAAAGCACAGACAGACGCACACGTCTGATTTGCTCAATTTGGCACGTGCCCTCCCCAAAGCCACAGTCGACTAAGTTTGTCAGATTGGTCCCATGTTTTTCAGTTCGGGACCCGGGTTCTGGCGGACAGAAACAAGCGGTGCGTATTCATGCCTGCCAACCGCTATTGAGGTGGTTCGATCTTAAAGTGGCAAATATTCAGAGCTTGACTTGTTTTCTTGGCCAACGGGTTAGTGCGTAGCCACATCGGCGCGCCGGGAAAGTTGGCTTGCCTCTTTTATAGCCGAGGATCCCAGGCCTCCAGTATGGGATGTGCAGATCGCCGGGGTCAAAAGAGGGAATTCGCCGCAAGACTTGTGGGGTGTTGTGTTAAAACAACCTTTAAAACAACCTTTAAAACAAACTCCGAAAGGTTTCCCTCAACAAAAACACGCAGAAGTTGACTTGACAGTCCCTATATTCTATTTCCGATGGACTTGTGTTAAAGATCGGATGGGTGATGTTTAGAAGGGATATGAGAGAGACCTGTTTGAGTAGAACCTGGAGTACAAAAGGGGGAGGGTTGTTCCCGCCCAAATGTCAAGGTTCCTCCAGAATATTGGACACCCCGGACATCCCCCCAGTTAGTTTATGAATCATTTCGAACGGTCCGGGTGGCACTAAACATTGCCAAACTTGAGTCAGGGGGTTTAAAGGGGAGGAGCCCCGTATATGCTGGGGTAGACTTAGGATACATTTTACATTTTACCAGTGATTCCACGTGAAGCAAACAATAAACTATACATTCTATGACTGGGCCTAACTCTCATCATGTATGGTGAGCAGGTTTATCCATCGTTCTTTGCAGGTCCGTTTTGGATGGCTCTTTGCAAACTCCTTTGTTTCTTCGTTTAGGGTGCAGGGGCTTTCGGGTTTGGGGCTGCAGCATCGCCATCGTTTTTTTTGCGCCAGGTGGTCTTCCCCAAAGTGCCTCGGCGATCAGAGACAGCCAGTTTGCTGGTTCAGTTTTCCCGAGAATTTGCCTCACCTTTAAGGGGGGTCCAGCAAGGGAACCCATACTGTGGATGGAAATCCGCTTAGGCACCACCTTCGAAACCATGGAAAACCCATTGTTTGTTGGTATTTATAAACAGGGGAATCATCATTTTGGGGTTTCTTAGGTGTTGCGAAATGGATTTCGTAACCATCCACAGTAGCATTGCCCGAGGCGCGCGCTTTTTTTTTTGTTGCCCCTTCGGCTTCTTGTGCTCGAAGGTTCCCGTTGCATCGGATCAGACGGGCCGAACTCGGAGGGGCGCCAAGTGCGTTGTTTCCCCCTCCTTCTCCCGGGTTTTGGTCAAAACACCTGCAACTCAGCTGCAACCAAAGCTCGGCTTCTGGAACCTTGATCAAGACCGGGAGTACTCACAGGCTCAAAGGAAGGGACCTGAGATGATCTTTTGGCTTTCCAAGCTTGGGCCCGAAGTCACAACCCTCCAAAGGTGAGGTTGTGTTTGCTTCCCATTTTTTTTTGGGCGAGTTCCGTCGTCCGTCCGAATGTTCCACGTGTTGCGAAAAGCGGCGGTCGACGTCCGTTGAAAAGTGGAGATTGAACGCCGGGCAACTGGAGTCTCGAGTCTCAATCCCCCCTACGAATAAGGAGCCGAGCGACCAAGACCTCTCTGGCATGAAAAGGAGTTGAAACGACAAATTGTGAGGTTTCATGTGAGTTTCCCAGACTGCTCACTTGGCCATGAGCTTGAATGATCGGAGCAGCCTCAATCTGGTCGGCGGCAATTTGACGTGGTCCGACCATTTTGGACTTGACACCCACAAAAATGGCGCATGGTCAACACACTCCTTGACGTGGAGTTGGTATGGTTAAGACAGTCGTGAGGGGTCGCAAGGGAACCTATGAGCACCCCTCCAAGGGATGGTGTGGTTCTTTTCGTTTTTTTTGTTTGGTTTCCATTAAAAGGAAAGCCGTAGCATTCCTGTTTGAACATTGCAATCTTCCAGTGGCCCGGGAATTTCTCCGAGGATGGCGCTGACGCGGCGGGCCTGGAGAGGTACCAGCTCGCCCGCGGCATCGGACGGGAGTTCGTGGTCAAGGCACTGCGTAAGCTCGAGACACTCTCCAAAAGTGATGTGTTGTACGGGTGTGTCGTGTTTTTTGAGGCCAGCATTTTTTTTGGGGTGGATTTGAAAGGGAAAACCCAAAGGAAACCACCGTTGGGTGTCCCCGAGAAGGACACACCTGTATTGGGTTGACTCAATGTGGCTAGTCGGAACCCCCACTGGTGGTGGGTGGACATGAATCGGGAGTCGAATTGTGTCTATAAATGGGAAGCGGAATCTGAAGATGTTGTTTTTGGAGTAATTGAGAAATGGGCGGCAACAGACAGTACCCGGGGGGGGTGTTCGTCGGTTGTCCATCGGTTGGTTGGTGTGTTTGGTTGGTTGGTTGGCTGGCTGGCTGGCTGGTCGTTGTGCTTGGTCGGCTTTTTGGTTTGGGTGGTTGGTTGGTTGGTTTGGGCGGGTGGGCAGTTGGCTGGGTGGGTGGCTTCGGTCTGGCGTTTGGCCGGTGACCGACAGCAGTTGTTTGGTCTGAAGAAAGGCCGTCGCTTGCTGAAGGAGGCCAAGTGAGGAGTGACCCTTGGTCGGCAGACCCCCCCCCCCCGCAAAAGAAAACAACCAACAACAACAACAAGAAAACACAAAAGTTGCAAACCTTTGGCATAATAAATTGTCCAGGCCCCCTAATTTAGCACTCAGCTACTCCACTTTTTACTTGGCTTTTTAGATTCCCTCCAGTTCGGTGAATCCTCAGGCCGTCTAAACCCGCCACGCTCGCAGGTCACCGGCAAGGCGCCGCCGTGAGGGGGGGTAGGGCTGGGAGGAAATCCTCGGGCTTGGAGTGGTTTCAAAGAGAAGCCAAAGGCAAACCACACATTTCAAAATACCGGGTACCTTAGACGAACCCACAGAAACGTTTGAATGCCCACAGATTCTGCCAGCTCTTTTGGGCTGTGCTTTCGGCGTCGGTTCACCTTGAGCCCGGGTGCCCGAAGGAGCACCCCATCGTTTCTTGAACGGTGCACTCTGTGTCTTTGAGGCTGGTGCTCAGCAGGGAATGAGGGAATGATCCTTGCCTATAAACCATGCCCTGTGGTTGCCTTTAAGGGATCCTTAGGTTCGTTCCCAAAATCCTGTACCTATGGCACCAGCAAGTCTTTGAGCCTGGGTTAAACTTTTTGAGGCTCGCCTCATGACAGTTGCTCCCACTGAAAGGCTCAAGGGCTCAAAGCCCAAGAGACACGCTGTGGAGCAAAGCCCAACATCTTGCGCTCCTTATCATGGCTGTTGTTAAACATTTCACATTTTCGCTCATTTGTGGTTTAGTGGTTGAAGCCCAACCACCTGACCGCTAAAATTGAGAAATTGTTGCTCCCCTTCCAGCGTCAACCGAGTGATCTTCAGGTGGTGGAGCGGGTGGCGAAGAACAAGGATCGCCCGCCCGGGACCTCAGCGTCGCAGCTGTTGCGCGACTCGCCTGGCCTGCAGGGGGGTTTTGGTGGTGGTGTTCGGGTGTATCCAAAGGTCCTAAATTCCATTGAGCCATGAGCGGAGAAAGAAGTCGGAAGGTCCGGCCGCAAGGGCCTTTTCTTGCTGCGATAGGCAGGGAATGGGAAATGGAAGGACCCCCTTTTTTACCATCCAACTGGTGGTTTTGCTTTGGGGGGACTGGGTTCATTCCCAGGCAGCAAGTTTTGTTTTGGTTCTGAGTCAGTCTGACGCTGATGGGCCTCGAAGGTTTCAGCGACCCACAGCTTTCTTCGAGGCGCCCGAGATGGGCGTGTCAACCTCGTTGAGTTTGCTTCTCGAGCTTCGTTTTAAATGAGAAGCCCAAATCAGAGTTTTTTTCTTCGAGAGCACCTCCCCCCCAAAAACAAGAGGTTGTTTTCCCTTTGGGTTCCCTTTAAATCACCAACCACAAGCTTAATTTTTCCTGGTGCGCTTCCGGATTTTAGCATGCAGGACTGGGGGACCCCAGACATATATGGTGTGTGGATTTGTTTTGTTCCAGGGTACCCGCCTCTTTTTTGTTGGTTTAACGGCACCCCAAAATCAAGGAACTGATTCACATCCCTTTTCACACTCCCCAGGGTCGATTTTGCTGAGGGTGTGATTTTGACAAGGTTAAGGACGTAGGAACATCACATCCCCTGTTGGGGATGTAAAAAGGGATGTGAAACAGTTCTTTGTACAAAAGGAAGGCCAGACATATGGGGCACATGTGTTTTTTTCTCCCAGGGTACCCGACATTTTTTGGGTTGCTTTTTTTCCTTCTTCTTCTTTTTCTGGGAGCCCAAAAACGGGAAGCCGCCAAAAGAACGGGGGGGGGGGGGGTGTGTTGGGTCCTCTCTCTCTCTCTCTCTCTCGAACGTTGCCCCCCAGGACCGGGGAGGTGGAGATCGTCGCGGACTCCCTGGATGTCTTGCGACGGCCTTGGGCTGTCGAGGCGTCGAGTTATTAAGCGGATCCGTTCGGGGTTGGCGGGTGCCAGGGGCCAAACCGAGTCGTCCGGTTCCTGAGTTCTTTTTTGGGGGTTTCCAGGTTCCTGAGTTTTTTTTTTGGGGTTTCCAGGTTCCTGAGTTTTTTTTGGGGGTTTCCAGGTTCCTGAGTTTTTTTTGGGGGTTTCCAGGTTCCTGAGTTTTTTTTTGGGGGTTTCCAGGTTCCTGAGTTTTTTTTTGGGGTTTCCAGGTTCCTGAGTTTTTTTTTGGGGTTTCCAGGTTCCTGAGTTCTTTTTTGGGGGTTTCCAGGTTCCTGAGTTTTTTTTTGGGGGTTTCCAGGTTCCTGAGTTCTTTTTTGGGGGTTTCCAGGTTCCTGAGTTTTTTTGGGGTTTCCAGGTTCCTGAGTTCTTTTTGGGGGTTTCCAGGTTCCTGAGTTTTTTTTTGGGGGTTCCCAGGTTCCTGAGTTCTTTTTTGGGGGTTTCAGGTTCCTGAGTTTTTTTGGGGGTTTCCAGGTTCCTGAGTTTTTTTTTTGGGTTTCCAGGTTTGAGTTTTGGGGGGTTCCTGAGTTTTTTTGGGGGGTTTCCAGGTTCCTGAGTTCTTTTTTTGGGGTTTCCAGGTTCCTGTTTTTTTTTTTGGGTTTCCAGGTTCCTGAGTTCTTTTTTGGGGGTTTCCAGGTTCCTGAGTTTTTTTTTGGGGGTTTCCAGGTTCCTGAGTTCTTTTTTTGGGGTTTCCAGGTTCCTGAGTTTTTTTTTGGGGGGTTTCCAGGTTCCTGAGTTTTTTTTTGGGGGTTTCCAGGTTCCTGAGTTCTTTTTTTGGGGTTTCCAGGTTCCTGAGTTCTTTTTTTGGGGTTTCCAGGTTCCTGAGTTTTTTTTTGGGGGTTTCCAGGTTCCTGAGTTTTTTTTTGGGGGTTTCCAGGTTCCTGAGTTTTTTTTTGGGGGTTTCCAGGTTCCTGAGTTCTTTTTTTGGGGCTTCCAGGTTCCTGAGTTTTTGTTTTGGGGGTTTCCAGGTTCCTGAGTTCTTTTTTTGGGGTTTCCAGGTTCCTGTTTTTTTTTTTGGGTTTCCAGGTTCCTGAGTTCTTTTTTGGGGGTTTCCAGGTTCCTGAGTTTTTTTTTGGGGGTTTCCAGGTTCCTGAGTTCTTTTTTTGGGGTTTCCAGGTTCCTGAGTTTTTTTTTGGGGGGTTTCCAGGTTCCTGAGTTTTTTTTTGGGGGTTTCCAGGTTCCTGAGTTCTTTTTTTGGGGTTTCCAGGTTCCTGAGTTCTTTTTTTGGGGTTTCCAGGTTCCTGAGTTTTTTTTTGGGGGTTTCCAGGTTCCTGAGTTTTTTTTTGGGGGTTTCCAGGTTCCTGAGTTTTTTTTTGGGGGTTTCCAGGTTCCTGAGTTTTTTTTTGGGGGTTTCCAGGTTCCTGAGTTTTTTTTTGGGGTTTCCAGGTTCCTGAGTTCTTTTTTTGGGGTTTCCAGGTTCCTGAGTTCTTTTTTTGGGGTTTCCAGGTTCCTGAGTTCTTTTTTGGGGGTTTCCAGGTTCCTGAGTTTTTTTTTGGGGGTTTCCAGGTTCCTGAGTTTTTTTTGGGGGTTTCCAGGTTCCTGAGTTTTTTTTGGGGGTTTTCAGGTTCCTGAAGGTTTTTTTTTTTTTTGGGGGGGGGGAGGGGTTTAAGTGGCGGAGTGGTTGGGTTCTCATCCCGCTGAAAGGGAAGCTTTGGGCACGGCTGCTGTCGGTTCTACCTGGTTCAATATGGATTAGAGCAAGGCGTAGAACCAGAAGTCAATAGGATTCAATGGGTTTTTGGATTGCATCTCAAACGGGTGTTTCCTTTTGGCTTCCCCGTAAAGCCAGGGTGGTTTGTCCTCTAGACATATTGGTGCTTGCAACCCCAAGGTCAAAGCGTAGCCCCAAAAAGCACGCCCATGTGAGTTCGGTGGAAGTTTCAAGCAACGCTTCTTGCGATGAATCGAATCCTATCTGGGATCTCGTCTGAAACCAGTCTACCTGAGGTTCTCCTATTTGGGGCAAGAGCTGGGGCGGGACTGGGCGTGCGCAAAACGGAATACTCTTTTGGGTGTTGTTCGAAAGACACTGCGGGGCATCGAATGTTACCCCTAGTTCGAGAACTTGAAGAGACGGATCGCCGCTGATCGCGCGCCTTTTCAGCTTTCCTCTAATTGCCCATGAACCAAGGGTTCAAATCCCCGCACCACAGATCCAAACCGCCAACTAAGGGGCATCTGACCTATGTTGGTCCTTAGGCAAACGTACTCTTCACTTGGGCTTGGTCCCCCTTCAGGATTTTAGACTGTGCCCGAGGAATCCCAGCGTCACTCCGCCGTTCAAGATAGAAGATGTGACGGATGCGAACGAGGACTGCCAAATCAATGCGTCCGAGGGAAGTCTGGGAGTCCTGTTCTTGCTGGCAAGCGGCGAGCCGCAACCGTCATGATTCTCATGCTGTATGGACGAAATCCGCTTAGGCACCACTTTGGAGCCGTCGGAAACCATGACGTTTGATGGTATTTACAGGGGAATCATCATGCCAGGGTCTCGTAGGTGGTGCAAGATTTCGTCCATCCACAGTACTGCCGCCAATGTCACAGTTTACTTCTAAAAGGACTGCAAACATGTGGCAGCATTGACTACTTACTTCGTTGCCCTGACTGCTTGAATCTAAGAGGGTTTCCACTACCCCAAACCACCGGGAGAAACATCTACCACGAACTGACATACAGTGCCAGCGCTGTATAAGGAATCTGTTGGTCGAGGCTCAGGGGGCCTGATTTTTTTCTTTTTTTGTTTTATTTTTTACCATCGTCCTGAAAAGGACAGGTTCCTACCCTTGGCTGGATTTCTTAGCCAAATTCTTTACCTCTGCTGAGAAATTCCAGGGTTCAGTTTCTTGAGTTTCTTAGCGGCCTTTTCAGGTGATGAAAGACTCCTTTGCAGCCTTTTCGGGTGATGAAGGACTCCTTTGCAGCCTTTTCGGGTGATGAAGGACTCCTTTGCATGACGAAGGGACGTTTTTGCTAAGAAATTCAAAGACATTGAGCCCTTGCATTTCTTAGCAAAGGAGTCCTTTATCACTCGGAAAAGGCCGCTAAGACATTGAGCCCCTGGATTTCTTAGCGGGCACTTCCCTGATTGTCAAAGATGCTTTCTTCGTCGAACAAGCTTGCTAAGAAATGGGATGAAACTTTCCGGGGGGCTCAATTTCTTAGCTGCAAATGCAGTTGCAACCTGCTTTTCTTCTGCAGTGCTTGCGCTGTATTGGATATGTGACCACTAGCCACGATGTAAGGAGTACGTATGTTTACCACTTCCCCTGAAAAGATCGGATATGGATGAGTTGGAATGGACGGACGGTTTGGCCAAACCCAGCGACAAATTCGATGGGTCCCGTGTCGTGAGGATACCCGCATGCGGTACCGCGGGACCCTTACCTTTCCGGACCGCGACGGTGGAGTGGTGGAGTCATGTGACCCCGACCGTTTGGTTGGGCTCCGTATTTTTCCTTATCATCCACATCAGTTCCTCATCTCATGGGGAGGATGAGGAGGGGAGGGGGAGGGAGCCCAAACAAGCCCTCAATAAGGCCTGAATTATTAAGGGCGGCTCCCTCACCCTCTCCTCCCTCCCCCAGCCCCCATGATCATCCAGGTTTCCTCATCCACATCATTCTTCAACACCTTTCTGGCCCTTCCATTTGGCCTTCGCCTTGAGCTTGAGTTGAAGGGAAAAGAGCAAGGGGTCAGGAAACATAGGATGGATATCCCAGCTACTCCAGAACCCTGCGAATTTGTGGCGTTATGTGTCCTTCACTCGGCTTCCTCAAACAAATTGGCCAAATATCGGCCTTTTGGAGTCACAGGAATACGGGGCGTCAATTGGATGATGTTGGGCCACTGGTGAGACATTTTTGCTAAAGCCCTGTTTACTTTCTGCTTCGACAGGGCACAAGCATGGCCGTGGGCAAAGACTTCCTTTGGAGCACCTTTCGTGTCATTCATGCCAGCGGACTCCGGCTACCTGTGACTGGCAAGGGCCGCGTTTGATGATACCTCGCCCGCTGTTTCTTGTCCGAGGCTACCTCGACATCCGGCGGAATCCCATCAAGGAGCGAAACGTCCATGCTGATAGCATCCGATTTTTGTTGAAGGCACAAAGAAAAGCAAGCGGGCAATACCAAGGTTGGGCCAACCCTTTTGTGAATATGTTCAAACCACCGTTGTTGTGAGGGAACCAGGGTATGATTGTCCAAACAAATTAGGCCCACCCCCGACTCAATACGCTTCAATTTTTCCAGCCATCCTAACTGACGAGCGGGAACACCGGATCGATCTGATTCGGGTCGGCTCCGATGTCATTTTTCTGATCCAATATGAGTTGTTCCTTACACCTTTGGTGCGAGACCCTTTGGGTGATTTGGATTGGTTCTTCGGGTTTTGGTTGAACCCCCGGGCTCCTATCAAGTGTTCGTTGCGCAACATGGTTTAGCAGCCAATCTCTGAGATCAAAGCAGCCTGATGCTAAGCTGCAAGCTGACTCTCTTGCTCTTTTTTTCCTCCGATGCGAGACTCAGTCCCAACCCGTCCATCTCTGCGCCCCCCCCTTCAGGAGCATAGGTGTCCTTGTTGGTTGTTATGGCCGAAAGTAGTTGGGTTGGGGGAGGTGGGTGTGGTCGTGGGTGGAGGGATTGGAGGCATAGGTGTCCTTTTTGGTTGTTTTTTCGCAAAATGGAGGGCGATTCCCGAATTACCTGGCGCTTTTTCCTCATCTACCAGGGAAACCCATCTATAGCATAGTTGGGCCTAAAAATAGATGGCCCTTACCTGGCGGTTGAATCACCCACCAGTCTTCCGGGGCCGTCTCTTTCCCCGAAAAGGACGCCGCCCCTTCAGGAGGCCTTGCTGCTCCGGAACAAGGTCACGCGGCTGGTGCGGGAGTGCTCCAGCGGGAATGATTGAAATCCATGGACGTGGGCGTTTGTGATGGGACCCCGTTTTTTGGTATGGATGAAATTCACCGCTTGGATTTGCCTCCCGTTTTTGGGTAACGTTAGAGATGCTTTGTCTGCAGGGAGGTGGGTTTTGCCCCGAACGCCAACTTTTTTTTAAAACAACGTGTTAGGGAAAATACAGCAGACCACGCCTTCCCCCTGTTGCTTTCCGTTTTTGTTTTTTTTTCTTCTTCGGGGAACCAGTAGCTTCTGTCTCTAGCCGAGGTATCTTGGAGACCGAGATTTCTGCGTGCCTCGGGCTGATAGCTTTGGCTTTTGCTCGCGTGATGGCGCCCGAGTTCTTGAGGAGGTCTTTGTGGTGAGTTTCCCAAAATGAAGAGCCCCAACGAGGGAGCAAAATGCGACCCGAAAGCACAAGAAAGCAAAATGGATGCCTTCAAGAGGGAACTTTTTTGGGGTCCCTTGGCGCTTTCGGGAGGAGCTTAGTATATGGTCAGATGCGGATCACCCGTTTACCTTTCCCAAGTTCTTCGCAGTTTCGGCAGAACTGCCCCTGTCCCTCTTCGTTGCGGGTCTTGTTCCTACCTGGGCTCTTCAAAGGCAATCCGTACTCCTTACCTTGCGTTGCCAAAGGAACCAATCCCCTTTGTAGTGGTACAACAGGGTTATGGGAAAATCGGCTTGGCCCACAGGAGCCATCTGCCTGTGGGTCAAAAATAGGATAACCCCAAAATGGGTTGCCCTGGTAAATGGAGCAGACTAAAATCTGCGGTCCATATCCTGGTGCCGTTTTTTCGACCTACACCCATTTCGAGCAGCCCAGCATCTCCCCCTCTCGCTGGAATTTTCCAGGGGTCCTTATGTTTCCCATGTTGGCGGTTTTAAACATCACCTTTTTGGCCCATGAAAGGTGAGTGCCCCTTGGTGGGGGCGATGTTTTAAGGGGAAATATAGGGAGCCCTGTTTTCAGCGCCGAGGAGATCGAGACGCCGGTGCTCATCAAGTCGACCCCCGAGGGAGCCCGGGACTTTGTGGTGCCCTCGCGCATGAACCCCGGGCCCGGGCCCCGAGAGAAGTGCTCGCAGGCTTGGTCTTTTGTGTTTTGTTTTGCAAGCCAGGGCAAGAAGGCCAACTAAAAAACAAGAGACACACCCGTGTTCCGTGGGAAATAGCGACATTTTTCTGGTGTTCAGTATGGTTAGTGCTTGCGTACTTGTTTTTGTGCGCGCGCGCACCAGAGTCAGTGGTGGCCGGTCCGCTTGAGCTTGGTTTCCTTTTGGTGAGTGTTGACTGATAGGGATCAACCTCATTCATGCACTGCTTCAGAGCCATAAGGGGCCTATTAGTGACTATTAGTGACCCAGATGGGACGTGCTCCACGTTTGACTACCCTAGACTTAAGCCCGGGGACTAATCTCAGATAGGAGCCCTGTCATGCAGTTACCAGTTTCAAGAATGGGACCCCACGATGATTCTGTCACGTCCCTGGTTGAACGGAGCGTGTGTCTCTGTCTTTCAGCAACCCATTTTGGGGGATTCCCCTATCCTGGAAAAGGAGCGTAGAATCAGATTTCCTGCGAGAGGAGAAACATCTTCTCCACCCCACGTCGACCGGTGGACGCGGCGCTGGTTCATGCGGGGTGGCGCCACATTTTCCCGAGGCAGTTCTATGCCTTGCCCCAGTCCCCGCAGACCTTCAAGCAGCTGCTGATGGCGGGGGGTTGAACCAAAAGGGGGGGGGGGGTTGGGCGTTCGTTTTGCCTTTTTGCTTGCTTCATGTGGGGACCCCTTTCCGCGGGGTGGTTGTTTTCCTTTTTTTCAGGGAAGCCGAGAGGAAACCGCTCACTTTGGGGTGGTTTGCAGTGTGGGGTTGCCCAGTTTGCAGAACCATCTGCCTCGACTGGAAGCGGAAGGGGAGGGAAAAGCGCGGCACCAGTGGTCCTCTCCTTTGCTTCGCCTTCGATTCCGCGAGGTGGGCGGAATCGATCGCTACTTCCAGATCGTCAAGTGCTTCCGGGATGAGGACCGCTTCGGCCGCCGTTGGCCGCTTCGGCTTGCCCACAAGCCGCCAAGCTACGACTCGCCCTGAAGAGAAACAAAGAATGACCAGGATCGAAGTGTATTGCTGGCCCCTCCAAAATGAAACCTTCAAACTTGTAAACTTCATATTTATTGTTCGTCGTCGTTCAGTGACTGGGACCAAAGTGAAAAACGTTTAAGCCTTCCAAACTCCTGGGCATCTTCAAGGACTTCAAAGGCGCCCCACACATGGACTGGGGTAGCACCTTACTTTGGGATCCAGCAGCCCCACCCCCAAATGCATATGGGTGTGGCTCAAAGTTAAACAGGAGGGGCAAGCCGTGTCCACCAAAGGGTCCAACCAATGAAAGTTCATTCGATGTGGGAAGGACGGGTCCTGTCTTGGTTTGCCTATTTCACCTTGTGCATTCTTTTTTGCTTGGCCACGACCAATTTCTTTCAGTGTTTGGTTTCTCAAGATGGAACTTGGGTACTTTGTGCCATGTTCTAGCTCTTTTCGCACTATTCTTGGCCAATTTTGATCGCCAAGTTGCTAGAAACACAAACTCGAAACAGCAACAAGAAGAAGACGAAGAAGAAGAAGACGAAGAAGGAAGAGGAAGAAGAAGCAGAAGAAGAAGAAGAACCATATCATAAAAAGGCAACCTTTCCACCTTTGATCGATTTTGCATCACCATCGATTTGCTAGGAGCTTCGGGCCGATCGGCAGCCGGAGTTCACCCAGATCGAAGCTGGGATTTCGATCTCGAGACGCGTCGTGCGAATTTGTCCTCAGTTCGCGTCACCGTTTTTCGGCTCGAGTTTTGTTCGGTTCACGTTTCGTGGACAAGAACATGTGTTGTGTTTTTCATCCTACCCCGAAGGTGAACCGGTGTACCTTACCCAACAGGAGTTTGGGGTTCTTTCCCCCGAAACCACCAAGCCCCCAACCACCAGTTGAGGGGAACCTGATTCTGGGTGCATGCAGTGGGCTTTGAAAAAGTTGCCACGCAAAGAGACAATGCCTACTGTAAGGGTTGGTCGCCCTCAAGCAGCCGATGGGGGAGTGTTGGTCCCATTGACATTCATAGATACATAGAGGACTAGGTCCCCCAGTAGTGCCCTTTCACCCTTTCTTGGGGGAGGGTTCCCCTACTAAAATAGACTGCAGAAAAAGGAAACGGTGCCCTTATTCTAACCTCTCTGCTGGAGGACCTAGATTCTAGATGGTTGTTGTTGGGAAACATTTTACATTTTTGCTTATCATGGTTTAGTGGTTGAAATCCAACCACTTAACTGCTAATTTGTTAATGTTGAAACGCATGTGGAAACATGAACTGTGTTTGAAATGCTTGACCATAATGGCATGTGCCATTTTGGCTCAAGCTTTGCCCTGGGTTCCTAGAACCCAATTTGTGTGAAAAAAATTGAGTTTGGACACTTTCGAACTAACCCCGATTAAGCAATGGCTTCCTCGGCAACCTCGGCCACCTCCTTTGAGCTGATTGAGGACCAGACGCTCACCGTGGAGGAGGTTGAAATGGCCAGCCAGGAGGCCCAGGAAATTCGCACACGCGAGGCGGCAGTGGCGGCCGGCCTGGTTTTGGACGAGCCCGAGGCCCCCCCGTCGGCCTCGGCTACCGACGTGATGAAGGACCTCTCCAGTGCACTGGAGCGTCTCCGTGTGGCGTTTGCCACACCGACTTCCGGCTTGGGTGCCCCTGGCCCCGCCGAGGAGGAGGACAAGGACATGGAAGATGCGGACGTCACGGAGCGGGCCACTCCACCGGAGGAGGCACAGACACCACCCACGAAGAGGCTGAGGGGTTTCGTGGCGGCTTCCCAGAAGACCACGGCTCATGTGAACAAACCGGTCTCCTTGGTGCCGGTTGAGGGCCGACCCGGTTACTTCAAGCTGGTGGACCTCCCAGACCTCTTCCCGGTCCTTCCGGCATCGGCGGCCACGTTGCTGAGGGACGTCACGGTGGAGGAGGCGGTCTCCCTGTTCCACAAGTTTGTCGGGAAGAATCTCACGGAGGACCTGGTGATTCGTATCCTGGAGGCCTATGTCCCGATGAAGATCCAGATCCGGCAGGAGGAGGTCTGGGCCTCGCAGTTCCAGAGGAACAAGGCGTGCATTGGCACCCAGCGAATGCACAGGCTCGATGCAGGCCATTCCGATTACAAGTTCATGTGCAAGGCATGCGGCACGGGGTGGCCAGAGGCAGCCAAGCAGTGCTGGGTCTGCCCAGGCAAGGAGTTCGTCCCCTTCCAGGCACCCTCGGCCACCTATGAGGCGGACGGCATCACCTACAACCTGCTCATCGTGGAGGGCAAGCCGACCTGGATCCAGCAGCGGGAAGGGGGAAGCCTGGGTGCCGCTGGCCCCGGTGGTACCCGGGCACAGGCAGACCGCAACCTGGTGGACGGCACGGTCCTGGGGAGAGCTCCTCCGAAAACGGACACGGCAGAGGAGATTACCATGGCAGACGTGGTCCCGCTCAACAGGCGGGTGGACATCCGGCAGGAGATCCTGTCCATGGAGGCGGACGACGAGGCGTTGAAGGTCCGGGAATGCCAGGAGATCAAGGTCAAAGTGCAGCGGTCCCTGAAGGAGGCGGAGGCTCAGAGCTTCCAGCTCTACCACCCCCAGGTGGACCAGGCGATCCGGAAGAAGGAGGAGCTGCATAAGGCCTTGAGGGAGGACCGGGAACCGACCCCGGAGGAGTCCTCGGCCAGGCGGCGGCACAAGGAGTTGGTCACGGAGGAGATGCTGGACAATGAGATGGCTATCCTGGCGCCTCTCCAGGAGGGCATGCAGGCCCTGCCGTCAGAGGAGGTGGCCAATGAGGGAGCCCGTGCCCCCAGGAAGGTCAACCTGGAGCGATTCAAGGCCAAGCTGCGAGACCAGTACCTGGAGGGGAAGGGCGTTGACGCCAGCCAGGCACTGGCTGAGGCGATGGGCTCCATTCAGGAGGCTCAGGCGGCGAACAAGCGCACCCAGACACCAACCAGGCATGGATGCTCAACCACACTATTCTGCCCCCTGGAGCTGGATGACCCCGAGGACATATCCCAGGTGGGAGACATCAAGGAGAAGTATGTCCCCTACATCAGGAGGCTCAGAGAGTCGCAGAACCCATGGCACCAGGAGGCGCTGCTGGAGGAGATGCGGCACCGGCCCTCTTAAGGGTGCCACTGGTCCCGGGGGGGACCAGCCAATGTCACAGCAGGACCTGGACTCGGAGGAGGGCAAGCTGTCCCTGCTCCTCTGGGCGATGAAGAGGCACCAGGGAGAGCTCCGGATGTTTGGGGGGATCTGGAAGAAGCACGCAAGTGGTGAGATCCCCAGGGGCGCTGACCAGCAGTTCAAGCTCACGCCGGAGGAGCTCCTGGCCCTGGAGCGCAGGACTCACCCACTCACGTGCGAGCAGGACCACATCGACCCAGTCATCTACACGGCCTTGGAGATCCGAGCGCAGGTGAACCGGGGCGAGCGCCCGGCGCCGGAGCAGGTGGTGGGGATCTTCTGGGCAAAAGGTGATGGGGTGGTTTGGACCAGGCAGACGAGAACGTGGGACCTGCCGAGCCTGACGGGGGTGTACGCCCACAGGTTCACTTTCAAGTACATCTACTCGGCCTGGACCACTTTCCCGTTGATCGTGAAGACGCAACGCCGGGGCCGCAATGCGGAGGGCTCGACCTCGGACAAGTGGATGGGCAACATCCTCCAGATGAGGAAGGAGGCGGTGCCCTTCCTGGAGAGCCTGGGCATCCCCAAGCCGCACAGCAAGGCGGAATGGAGCCTGGGAGGCTCCGTCGGCTCCACCCTCTTGTAGAACTCCATCCTGTCACGGATCCACTGATTATATAGCTGCTCCGGGGGCTCGTCCATCACCAGCTGCAAGCATGTGGCCTTGTCTTTGTGCCACCCCGTGATCTGGAGCAGCCTGGTGCCCCCGCGGCTCGCCCTCCAGAAGCCCTTGCAAAATCTGAACATATAGAGCCCGGTGGTCTTGAACTTCTCCTTGCCCACCACTTCCCAGGCGCTGATGCTGGGCAAGACCAAACCACACTCCACGGAGGCCCAGAACACGTGCTTCGTCTCCTTGGGGAAGTGCTTGTTGATGTACTTCCGGCCCGCAACCGCCGTGACCGTGGCCGTGGTGATGGGCGGGTATCGCCTAGTGCCCTGGTCTGGTGTGCGGAGCGTGGTGTCTGCCCCCCCCAGAACCTTGGCCTTGGGGTCCGCCTCCTTGGCCGCTCCTCCCCCGGGGCCAGAGGCACCCAAGGGGGGGGAGCAACCCGGATGAGGTCCTGGGAATTACCCAACCTGTCGTACAAGGCCCCCGCCACCTCCTGCGGGACCTGCTCGACCCAGTCGTGGACCACGTTGCAGCGCCAGTTGACCTTCACCTCCACCATCGAGGACTTGCTCAGGCCCGCCACCAACTTGGTGTAGACCGAGTCGAAGGCCTTCAGCGATGTCCGCTCGTCGCAGACCGCCCTGAAACGCAGCGCCTCCTTACTGTCGTGGACGGGGGCCACTGGGATCTCCATCACAGGCAACGGGCAGTTGACGATGAAATTCTTGGCCGCCAAAAACGTCCCCATCTCCTTGAAGATGTAGGACGAGCGGCTAGTCCTGGGCGACGCGAGCACCCCCCGCATGCGCTTCAGCTCCTCGAATGGCCTGGGGGATGTCTCCACTGCCTTGTGGTCGGTCATTTTGAGCAACCCGGAGAAGTCGGGGCTGGCGGCCATCCACTCGGTGGCAAAGGAGGCGATCTTGAAGGGTGAGAGCCGCTAGGTCGTGTCTCACAGCCCTTTTGGATGTGGAGTCGTGTGATCTCTTCCCGCCGGGACTTGGGTGCCTTTGGCCCCGTCTCGGGTGGGGGGAGGAGTAAGGGTGTCTCCTTTTGGGTTCATCTTTCACCATTGTTTCCCCCCTGTTCAACACGTCACGACAGCCGGATTGCCGCGATCTGGAGGCCACATGCACCATATCAGCCACGGTTTGGAAAAAGTGGCTGCGGCTGACTCTTGGTTTCCTTGAGGTCCCCTTGGGGTTTTTGGGGAATCCCCCGCCTGGTTGGTCTCCCCCCTCCGTGCTTTTGGGGATTTCCGGGGGTTGACTTTTGGTCCTGTCGGGCTGCGTGTGGCCTGCCTGCTCCATCTGCACTCGGCATTCTGCGCGTTTGGAACATGCATGCATTGTGCCGCGGTTGGGTCCCGGCCGTTCGATAGGAGGCTCGAACCCCCCTTTTCCTCATGGCTAGGGTTTCTACCAAGTTTCTTTTGCGCCCGCCTTACACACGTCTTTGGGACCGCATTCCAAGGGTCCTATGACACATTGGCGGATGAGTCCTTCTCCCCGAGATGATGTGCCTGCGCCATGGCACGGAGGAGGAGGGGAGGAAGCTGGGCGGGGAGCCGGCAGTCCGCTTCGCCCAGCTCCTGGAACTCTCGGGCATTCCGGTAGGGCAAGACGACCAAGTGGTCCAAGGCTTCCCCAGCCTCTGTCCGCGGCGGACCTGGCCGACCTTGGGATAGCCTATGGTTCCTCCTCATGGCGACGGCGGATGGCAAGCCGAGCGAGAACTTTTCCCCGCTGGAGAATGAATGGGACCGCCAGGACCAACTGAGGTGGTTCTCACGAGATGACCCACCCCCACTCCAACAACCGGAGCTTCTGAAGTGGAGGCACTGGCGGCCCGGGAAAATGAGGGAAATGGAGCCCACGACCCA